TTTTTTTTTTTTTTTTTTTTTTTGGGGGACGGAGTTTCGCTCTTGTTACCCAGGCTGGAGTGCAATGGCGCGATCTCGGCTCACTGCAACCTCCGCCTCCTGGGTTCAGGCAATTCTCCTGCCTCAGCCTCCTGGGTCGCTGGGATTACAGGCACGCGCCACCATACCCAGCTAATTTTTTGTATTTTTAGTAGAGACGGGGTTTCACCTTGTTGACCAGGATGGTCTCGATCTCTTGACCTCGTGATCCACCCGCCTCGGCCTCCCAAAGTGCTGGGATTACAGGCTTGAGCCACCGCGCCCGGCTAGGGTTGCTCTTAATTGTAAATTGCTTTGGGTAGTATTGTCATTTTAACAATATTCTCCTAATCCATGAGCATGGAATATCTTCCCATTTTTATTCTGTATCCTCTACAGTTTGTTTCATTGGTGTTTTATAGTTTTCTTGTATGGCTCCTTCACACTTTTGGTTACTTTTTATGTTTTTCAGAGGTGAGGTCTCATTTTGTTTCCCAGACTGGAATACAGTGGTACAATTGTAGCTCATGCAGCAGCCTTGAACTCCTGGGCTCAAGGGATCTTCCTGCCTCAGCCTATTGAGTAGCTGGGACTACGGCTCTGTGCTATCATGCCTGGCTAATTTTCTTTCTTTCTTTTTTTTCTTTTCTTTTTTTCTTTTTTTTTTTTTTTTTTGAGACGGAGTTTCGCTCTTGTTACCCAGGCTGGAGTGCAATGGTGCGATCTCGGCTCACCGCAACCTCCGCCTCCTGGGTTCAGGCAATTCTCCTGCCTCAGCCTCCTGAGTCGCTGGGATTACAGGCATGCGCCACCATGCCCAGCTGATTTTTTATATTTTTAGTAGAGACGGGGTTTCACCATGTTGACCAGGATGGTCTCGATCTCTTGACCTCGTGATCCACCCGCCTCGGCCTCCCCACAGTGCTGGGATTACAGGCTTGAGCCACCGCACCCGGCCCTAATTTTCTTTTCTTTCTTTCTTTTTTTTTTTTTTCCATTTTAAATAGAAACGGGTCCTTGCCATGTTCCCCAGGCTGATCTTGAACTGCTGGACTCAAACAATCCTCCCACCTCAGCCTCCCAAAGTTCTGGGATTACAACTGTGAGTCCTGATGCCTGGTGCTGGCATTTTATAGTCTTTGCAGCTATTGTAAATAGGATTAGTTCCTTGATTTCTTTTTCAGATTGTTCACTGTTGGTGTGTATAAATGCTACTGATTTTTGTATGTTGATTTTGTGTCCCTTTACCTTTACTGAATTTGTTTATCAGTTCTACCAGGTTTTTAGTGGAGTGTTTAGGTTTTTCTAAACGTCAGATTATGTCAGCTGAGCATAGTGGCTCAGGCCTGTAATCCCAGCACTTTAGGAGACCAAGGCAAGAGGATTGCTTGAGATCAGGAGTTCATGGCCAGCCTGGGCAACATAGTGAGGACCTTCCCCCACCCCCAACCTCTAAAAAAATTAACATTGTCACATGCGCCTGTGGTCCTGGCTCCTTGGGAGGCTGAGGCAGGAGTATCACTTGAGCCCAGGAGTTCAAGACCAGCCTGGGCAATATGGCAAGGCCCCATCTTGCAGTGAGCTATGATCACAACTGCACTGCTGCCTGGGCAGCAGAGGGAGTCCCTGTTTCTAAGGAGAAAAAGGTCATGTCAGTGGCAAACAAGGCCAATTTCACTTCTTTTTTAGTTGGGATACCCTTTATTTGTTTCTCTTGCCTAATTGTTCTGGCCAGAACTTCTAGTATTGGGTTGAATAAAAGTGTTAAAAGTGGACAGCCTTGTTCTGTTCAAGATCTCAGAGGAAAGACTTTCAATTTTTCCCCATTCAGTATGATGTTGGATGTGGGTTTGTCATATATGGTCTTTATTATTTTGAGGTGTATTCCTTTTATACACAATTTTTTGTCGAGGGCTTTTGTCAGAAAGGGATACTGAATTTTATTGAATGCTTTTCAGTGTCTTTGGAAATCTTATATAGTTTTTGTTCTTGGTTCTGTTAATTTGGTATGTCACATTTATTGGTTTGCATATGTTGAACCATCTTTGTATTTCTAGGATGAATTTCACTTAACTATGGTGAGTGATTTTCTTTATGTGTTGAATTTGGTTTGCTGGTATTTTGGTGAGAATTTTTGCAGGTATGTTCATTAGTGATATTGGCTGGTAGTTTTGTTGTTATGCTCTTGCCCGGTTTTCATATGAGAATAATGCTCACTCTGTAGATTAAGATTGGAAATATTCTCTCCTCTTCAGTTTTGTTTCTTTTTTTTTTTGAGGAGTTCGAGTAGTATTGGTATTAGTTTTTTCTGTTTGTTTTTTTTTTGTAAATTTAGCAATAAAGTCATCAGGTCCTGGGCTTTTCTTTGATGGGAAACATTTTGTTATGGCTTCAATCTTGTTTTTTTTATGACAAGGTTTTTCTCTGTTACCCAGGTTGGAGTACAGTGGTGTGATCATGGCTTACTGCAGCCTCTACCTCCCAGGCTGAAGCAGTCCTCCCATCTCAGCTTCCTGAATAGGTGAGGTGCAAGCCACCACACCTGGTTACTTTTTCTACTCTTTAGCAGAGACAGGTTTTCATCATGTTGTCCAGGCTGGTCTTGAACACCTGAGCTCAAGTGATCCGCCTGTCTCAGCCTCCCAAAATGATTTTCTTTAAAATTTCCCTAGGTCACTATCTCCTTTTCAGCACTACATGGAATCTTAAACCCACGGTTTTACCTCTTATCTAGCAAACTATCAAGAATACTGCCCATCACCTGGGCGTGGTGACTCACGCCTGTAATCTCAGCACTTTGGGAGCCTGAGGTGGGTGGATCATGAGGTTAGGAGATTGAGACCATTCTGGATAACACAGTGAAGCTCCGTTTCTAGTAAGAAAAGTACAAAAAATTAGCTGGGCTTGGTGGCATGCGGCTGTAGTCCCAGCTACTTGGGAGGTGGAGGTTGCAGTGAGCCTAGATCATCCAATTACACTCAAGTCCAGTGGACAGATTTTGGTGGCTTTCACATCTGTCACCTGCAGAGAGAAAGCTTATACGTAATATTTTATGCTCGTTGTTTGATGATTGATATGAACAAGACCAAACATAACCCTGTACACAGAGGAATGGAGATTGTCTTTCTCCACCTAGATTCATAAGCTTCCCTGAGGCGATCTTGGCATGACGGAAGAGACAGCATTGAGGCGCATTCCACCATCAGCTTCAGAGGATGGCAGCCATTGATTTGTCTTGTGGTAAGTCCTTGTTAATGCTCTTTCTCAGAGATTCTGCTTTAGGTCGCCCTCCACACCATAAGAGTGCAGTGAGCTGGGCCTGAACAGTCGCTGCTGGTTCTTTTTTTTTTTTTTTTTTTTTTTTTTGAGGCACAGTTTAACACTTGTTGCCCAGGCTAGAGTGCAGTGGCATTGTCTCAGGTCACAATCACCTCTGCCTTCTGGGTTCAAGTAATTCTCCTGCCTCAGCCTCCTGAGTAGCTGGGATTACAGGCATGTACCACTTTTACTACACCTGGCTGATTTTGTATTTTTAGTAGAGATGGGGTTTCTCCATGTTGGTCAGGCTGTCTCAAAACTCCTGACCTCAGGTGATCTGCCTGCCTCAGCTTCCCAAAGTGCTGGGATTACAGACGTGAGCCATCACACCTGGCTTCCTCTGGTTCTTACAGGAGTAACTGAAGCGCAAAACAGAATGTTATTTTATTTTATTTTTATTTATTTATTTATTTTGAGACAGAATCTTGCTCCATCACCCAGGCTGAGTGCAGTGGTGCAATACCTCTGCCTCCCAGGTTCAAGCAATTCTCTTGCCTCAGCCTCCCAAGTAGCTGGAACCATAAGCACGTGCCTCCAGGCCTAGCTTGTTTGCTTATTTATTAATTTAGAGATGGAGTCTCACTCTGTCACTCAGGCTGGAGAGTAGTGGCATGATCTTGGCTCATTGCAACCTCTGCTTCCGTGGTTCAAGCAAGTCTTTGCCTCAGCCTCCTGTAATTATTGTTTTATTTTATTTTTTTTAGTGGAGACGGGGTTTCACCATGTTGGCCAGGCTGGTCTCAAATTCCTGACTTCAAGTGATTTGCCTGTCTTGGCCTTCCAAAGTGTTGGGATTACAAGCATGAGCCATCGTCCCCAGCCAGAATGCTGTTTTAGAATTCAGCCCTGGTTTGTGTGCCTTAGGAAATGCTCTATAAGCTTCATGAATTTTACTAGTATGGACAGACAGTCAAATTTTTCAGAGTGTAAGTTTCCTTGTAAAATGAAACTATTACCATTTACATAACAGGCAGCTCGGCCCACATCTGCTTTTCTGAGTCTAGGTGACAAGGACTACTGTGGCATTTCATGGGAGTGTTGTCTGTCTGCAGTTTTCTCGAGTGTGCAGGAGTATATGGGAATTTCAAACTGGGATAGAGTGACTTCTAGGCGTGTGAATGTGGGAAGTACAGGTAGCTGTGGCTTCTCATGCCTTCTTACTTTTCCACTAGGGTTTTTTTCCAGGGAACCAATCTGCTCTTTTGAAGAAAAGACAAAGGTAGAAAGGACGGTGGTGGACTGCCTGGCAAATGGTTATCAGGTAAAGTGAAAATGTACTGTTGTACAAAATGTCATACCTTCATCCAGTAGGTGGACACATTTCCTTCTAGACAGACTCATCTCCGGAGTTCTCTTAGAGCAAATGAAGCTTTACTGAAGGACAAGTCCCGAGATGAATTTCCCCAGGGAATGAAATCTCCTATAGATAAAATGTTAACTTGAAAATCATCCCGTGATCTCAGTAATAATTAATTAAGCTTGACCTTCATGGTGCCAAGTGCATCTTTCTTTGATTGCTGGGTGGTGTGACAGATGATAAGGCAGATGAAAGTGTCCTTTTATCAAATAATTTATTCACGCATCAGAATTTATCAGATATCTGCAGTGTGCTGAGGAGTGTGCTGCATAGTGACAAATGGGACAGGAAGAGCTTCTAGCCTGGTTGTGGTTGTGCTAAGATAAAGTGTAAGCTGTGGGCAGTGGCTCATGCCTGTAATTCCAACTACTCAGGAGGCAGAGGTCAGAGGAGCACTTCAGTCCAGGAGATTGAAGCTGCAGTCACCAGCAATTGTTTCTGGGTAACACAGTGGGACCTGTCTTTATATATAAATTAATGAACAGATTAGATGGGGATAGATAGATAGATGAATAGATGATAGATAAAAATTTATGTTGGCTGGGCGCGGTGGCTCATGCCTGTAATCCTAGCACTTTGGGAGGCCAAGGTGGGTGGATCACCTGAGGTCAGGAGTTCAAGACCAGCCTGGCCATCATGGTGAAACCCCATCTTTTTAAAAAAAAAAAAAAAAAGAAGAAGAAGAAAGAAAAAAAAAATTTATGTTAAGGAAGTATTGTAATTAAAACTTCAAAAACTTTAAAAAGTTTAAAATAAAAATGTTTAAAAATAAATCAGGAAAATATATTTTTAAAAATTTTAAAAAGTGCTGTTCAAGGCATATACCTGTAGGAGGTCACCTTTGAGTGTTTAGACACAACAGCTCCTGAGACATTAAACCCTGGAGTAGATGTTGGGAGATCTCAGAACCACATATCAGCGAGTATAAGGTTCCCCTTCCTCATTCTCCAGTGAACATTGGTGCAAGTGTTCATTGGCTCAAACCAGCATATGTGTGATGACTTAGGATTCAGTGACCTTTGATGATGTTGCTGTGGAGTTCACCCCAGAGGAGTGGGCTTTACTGGACACAACTCAGAAATACCTCTACAGAGATGTGATGCTGGAGAACTACAAGAACCTGGCCTCTGTGGGTAAGAGTCACATCATTTTGCTGGGCATGGTGGCCTACACCTTTAGTCCCAGATACTTGGGAGGCTGAGGTGGGAGAATCGCTTCAACCTGGGAGTTTGAGACTAGCATGGGTCACATTGTGAGACCTCGTCTCTAAAAAGAAATCATAGGCCGGGCACGGTGGCTCAAGCCTGTAATCTCAGCACTGTGGGAGGCCGAGGCGGGTGGATCACAAGGTCAAGAGATTGAAACCGTCCTGGTCAACATGGTGAAACCCCGTCTCTACTAAAAAAAATACAAAAAATTGGCTGGGCATGGTGGCACGTGCCTGTAATCCCAGCTACTCAGGAGGCTGAGGCAGAAGAATTGCCTGAACCCCAGAGGCGGAGGTTGCAGTGAGCCGAGATTGTGCCATTGCACTCCAGCCTGGGTAACAAGAGTGAAACTCCGTCTCAAAAAAAAAAAAAATCATAGAAAGAAAGACTACGTCGGGTGCAGTGGCTCACGTCTGTAATCCCAGCACATAGGGAGGCCAAGTCGTACGGATTACCTGAGGTCAGAGGTTTGAGAAAAGCCTGGCCAACGTAGTGAAACCTCCGGAAGCTGAGGCAGAGCCACATAATTGCTTGAACCTGTGGTGATTGCAGGGAGCCACTGCACTCCAGCTTGGCCAACAGAGCAGGAGTTCGTCTCAAAAAAAAAAAAAAAAAGAAATGTACATCTTCCTTCCCCTATCTTTGATGTACTAAATTGGAAACTTTAGCATTTGAAACCAGTCATCTGTATTTTCAGAATCCCTGAAGATGAATTCAATATACCATCATGTTTGACATCCTATGGCAAGGATCTTTATGTTGTACTTACTTTATTTCTTTCTTTTTCTTTTTTGAGATTGAGTCTCGCTTTGTCACCCAGGCTGCAATGCAGTGGTGTAGTCACAGCTCACTGCAACCTCACACCTCAGCCTCCCAAGTAGCTAGGATTGTAGGCACCTGCCACCACACCCAGCTAATTTCTTTAAAAAATTATTTTTAGTAGAGATGGGTATTGGCCATGTTGGCCAGCCTGGTATCAAACTCCTGACATCAGGTGATCCACCGGCCTTGACCTCCCAAAGTGCTGGGATTACAAGTGTGAGCCATGGCACCTGGCTTTATCTGTGGGACCAGACTTTCATTTCAGTAAGAAATAAAGTAACTAGGCCGGGCACTATGGCTCACACCGGTAATCCCAGCACTCTGGAAGGCCAGGGTGGGCAGATACGAGGTCAGGAGATTGAGACCATCTGGCTAACATGGTGAAACCACGTCTCTACTAAAAATAGAAAAATTAACCAGTGTGGTGACTTGTACCTGTAATCGCAGCTACTCAGGAGGCTGAGGCAGGAGAATGGCTTGAACTTGGGAGGTGGAGGTTGCAGTTAGCCGAGATTGTACCACTGCACTCCACCCTGGGCGACAGAGCAAGACTCTGTCTCAAAAAAAAAAAAAAGGCCGGGTGCGGTGGCTCATACCTGTAATCTCAGCTCTTTGGGAGGCCAAGGCGGGCAGATCATGAGGTGAAATTGAGACCATCCTGGCCAACATGGTGAAACCCTTTCTCTACTAAAAATACAAAAAAAAATTAGCCAGGTGTGGTGGCACATGCCTGTGGTCCTAGCTACTTGGGAGGCTGAGGTGGAAGAATCGCTTGAACCCAGGAGGCAGAAGTTGTAGTGAGCTGAGATTGTGTCACTGCACTCCAGCCTGGTGACAGAGCAAGACTCCATCTCAAAAAAAAAAAAAAAAAAAAAATTTTTTTTTTTAAGATGCATTTTGCCTTAGAAGATTTAAGCTATTTTTCTCAGAATTTCAGATATTTCTGATTTTTATTTTCCATCTAGTCAGACTTTTTTATGATCTAACAAAAATACCATTCTGTTGTTTGGTTAAGTTTATCATTTTGATATATGCTCTTTATCCAGATCTTTCCTACTTTCCCTTCCTGATAATCTTCTCTTCCTATTCATCATCAGTTTCAGTTTTCACAGAAGCAGTTTATAATAAGCTATCTAAACACATCAGCTGTGTAATAAACCCCACATCCTTATAGCCAACTTTTTGCCATACCAAAATCCTCAAGGTTCTCTGGCTTTTATTTTGTTACTGTGTTTAATTTGAAAACAAGTACAAATGACTCATCAATTTAAACTATTTCAATATAACATTTCCTCTCTAAACTCTTACATTTCTTTTTCTCCTTAACTTCAGAATGGGAAATACAACCTAGATCCCAAGGGCCATCACATCAGCAGGGTTTTTTGAAGAATGAAATATTCAATGGGCTACAAATGGTAAGATTGATGAGGGATATTTCTTAGTTTCGCCACTCAGAAAAGATTCAGAATTTCATTCTAGAAAATCAGCCCAGTCAGAGCTGTGGCCTACATCTGTAATTACAGCTATTTGGGAGGCTGAGATGGGAGGATCATTTGAGTCCAGCAGTTTGAGACCAACCTAGCCAATATAGCAACATCCCATCTCTAATTTAGAAAAGACACTGAATATGGTGGCTCATGCCTATAATCCCAACATTTTGGGAAGCAAAGGTGGATGGATCATTTGAGGTCAGGAGTTGGAGACCAGCCTGGCCAACATGGTGAAACTCCATCTCTACTAAAAATACAAAATTAGCTAGGTGTGGTGGGCATCTGTCATCCAAGTTACTCAGGAGGCTGAGGCAGGAGAATTGCTTGAACTCAGAGGTGGAACCCAAGATTGCATCACTGCATATAAGAAAAGATAATAAAGAAACTGAGTCTATAATCCCAGCACTTTGGGAAGCCAAGATGGGTGGATCACTTGAGGTTAGTACTTCGAGACCAGCCTGGCCAACATGGTGAAACTCTGTCTATACTAAAAATATAAAAATAGCCAGGCATGGTGGCGGGCACCTGTAATCCCAGTTACTTGGGAAGCTGAGGCAGAAGAATTGCTTAAACCTGGGAAGTAGAGTTTGCAGTGAAAAAGAGCACAAATGAGAGATACTTGGGAGAATTAAAGAAGTAGCCTGCACTGTTGAGGGAGCAGAGTCTCCAGAGAGATAGTCTGAATATGATGAATTTTGTGATGTTCCATACCTGTATAACTAACTTGTCACTTGAAAATACCCACAAGTACACATTCCCACATATGTAAGTAGACATGGAGGATTTAAACAGTTTCATGAAAATCTACAGAATTTGGCTGGGTGCCATGGCTGACACCTATAATCCCAGAACTTTAGGAAGCTGACACAGGAGAATTGATTGAGTCTAGGAGTTTAAGACCAGCCTGGGAAACAGGGAGACCTTGTCTCTACAAAAAATAAAACATGAGCCAGGCGTGTTGGCATACACCTTTAGTCCAAGCTCTTTAGGGGACTGAGGCAGGATGATGGCTTGAGCCTTGGAGATTAAGGCTGCAGTGAGCTGTGATTGTGCCATGGTACCCAGCGTGGGTGACAGATTCAGAACATGTCTCAAACTACCCCTCACAATAATAAAAAAAGAACTACAGTGTTGTTTTTATTTTTATTTTTTTTAAATAATTAGAGCCAGTGGCATAGAATTCTAGCAAAAGATCCCATCATTCAAACTGGAAGAAGTGAAGGAGTCAGGAAATGAAACCATAAAAATTGTAAGAATTATACTTATGAAAGTAGGCTGCCATGGTAGCTCATGGCTATAATCCCAGCACTTTGGGAGGTTGAGACAGGGCAGTTGCTTGAAGAGTTTGAGACTAGCCTAGGCTACCTAGCATGATCCTGTTTCTATAAACATAAATTGAGGCCAGGTGCAGTGGCTCACGCCTATAATCCTAGCACTTTGGGAGGTGGAGGTGGGTGGATCATGAGGTCAGGAGTTAAAGACCAGCTTGGCTGGTAAAACCGTGTCTCTGCTAAAAATTAAAAAATTATATGGGTGTGGTGGCATGTGCCTATAATTCCAGCTACTCGGGAGGCTGAGGCACGATAATCGCTTGAACCCAGGAGGCAGAGGTTGCAGTGAGCCGAGATCGGGCCACTGTATGCCAGCCTGGAGGCAGAGTCAGACTATGCCTCAAAAAAATAAATAAATTGAAAGGTTGGCCAGGCTTGATGGTGCATGCCTATAGTCCTGGCTACACAGGAAGGTAAGGTAAGGTGATCACTTGAACCCAGGAGTTTGAGGTTAGAGTAAGCTATGATCACACCAGTGCACTATAGCCCAGGCAATGGAGTGAAACCACAGCTCTTTAAAATACACTGGGGATGGTGGGTCACGCCTGTAGTTTCACCATTTTGGGAGGCCAAGCCGGGCAGATCACCTGAACTCAGTAGTTTGAGCAGCCTGGGCAACTTGGCAAAATGCCAGCTCTTACAAAAAATTAGAGGTTTTTTTTGAAGTGGAGTCTTGCTCTGTCATCCACACTAAAGTGCAGTGGGTTGATCTTGGCTCGCTGCAACCTCTGCCTCCCAGGCTTAAGCAATTACCCTGCCTCAGCCTCTTGAGTAGCTGGGATTACAGGCACAAGCCACCACACCCAGCTAATTTTTGTATTTTTAGTAGAGACGGGGTTTCAACATGTTGGTTAGGCTGGTCTTGATCTCCTTACCTCATGAGCCACCATTCCTGGCCAAAAAAATAGAAAAATTTGCCAGGTACAGTGGCGCACAACTGTATTCCTAGCTGCTTGGGAGGCTGAGGCAGGAGAATTGCTTGAGCATGGGAGGTGGAGGTTGCAGTTAGCCAAGATTGTGCCACTACACCCCAGACACTGTCTCGAAAAAAGAAAAAAAAAAACACACACTAAACATTAAAAAGGTAAAATAATGAAATAATTGTCATCAAAATAATGCTTCTGTGTTTAGATGGGTGAAATCTCTTAATATGTCTGAAAACGTTGTAAATCCTTTATTCCCTCATCAACAGGAAAGAAGCTACAGGTTAGGGAAACTCTGTGACTGTAAGAATTGTGGAGAGGTCTTCAGTGAATGGTTTTTCTTTGAGACGCTCATGAGAGCTCAGAATGTAGGGAACACTTCTGAGTATAATTGTTCTGGAAACGATGTCCTCTCTGTGTACAAGAAAGCCTCTGTTGGACAGGAACTTTCCAAACTTAATCCATGTGGAAAAGTCTTCACCCTAACTCCAGGCCTTGCTGTACATCTTCAAATTCTCAATGCAAGAAAACCCTACAAATGTAAGGCATGTGGAAAAGGCTTTAAGTATTTTGCGAGTCTTGATAATCACATGGGAATCCACACTGGAGAGAAGCTCTGTGAATTTCAGGAATGTGGGGGAGCCATCACAGCTTCCTCACGACTAAAGCACTGTGTAACAGTTCATACTGGAAAGAAATCCAAAAAGACTAAGAAATGTGGGAAATCCTTCACTAATTTTTCTCAACTTTCTGCACATGGGAAAAATTATAAAGGAGAGAAGTCCTTTGAATGTAAAGAATGTGGAAGATCCTTTAGAAATTCCTCCTGCCTTTATGATCACATTCAAATTCACACTGGAATAAAACCACACAAATGTACTGAGTGTGGAAAAGCATTCACTAGGTCAACTCAACTTACTGAACATATAAGAACTCACACTGGAATAAAACCCTATAAATGTAAGGAATGTGGGCAAGCCTTCACTCAGTACTCAGGCCTTGCTATACACAAAGGACATCACAGTGCTGAGAAACCCTACCAGTGTAAGGAATGTGGGAAAGGCTTCACTACATCTACAAGCCTTACTCAACATACAAGAATTCACACAGGAGAGAAGCCTTATATATGTGGTGAATGTGGAAGAACCTTCATTACTTCTTCCCATCGTGCTAAACATTTGAGAACTCATACTGGAGAAAGGCGCTATGTATGCAAGATATGTGGGAAAGCATTTATGTATTCCTCGGGCTTTAATGTTCACTTACGAACTCATACCGGAGAGAAACCCTTTGTATGTAAAGAATGCGGGAAAGCATTTGCTTCTTCCTCACTCCTAAGTAGACATGGAACAATTCATAGCCGGGCACAGTTGCTCACGCCTGTAATACCAACAGTTTGGGAGGCCGAGGCAGGTGGATCATGAGGTCGGGAGATCTAGCCTAACAGGATCACAAAGTCAGAAGATCCTAGCTAATATGGTGAAACCCCATCTCCACTAAAAATACAAAAAAAGTTAGTTGGGTGTGGTGGCACACACCTGTAGTCCCAGCTACTTAGGAGGCTGACACAGGAGAATTGCTTGAACCCATCAGGCAGAGGTTGCAACTAGCTGGGATGGCGCCATTGCACTCCAGCCTGGGCAACACAGTGAGACTGTCCCCCTCCCCCCAAAAAATTTCTCACTGGGGAGAAATCCTATGAATGTGAGGGTATGAGTGTTAACATTTAGCCCATCGGTTGCCATCTTTAATTATTGGCAGTGATACCAAAGATCATCAGATTGGTCCTAAATGCCTTACAGGGGTTGTAGTGGCTTATGGATTGGCCTTAGGTGCCCTCCCAAGTGTTTGAAATTAAACCTACTGGTTCTGAATACAATTTCTCCATGGTTGCCTGCATCTGGGCATCTCTTTTGGGATGCTGAGGTCAGTACTGCATGCTGCCTCACCTTGGTGATTACATTCATAGGATCATAGCATTAACAAGTTCTGTATGAGATAAATCATGCAGATTGGTCCCAGACCCTGTTGGTTAGTAGCTGCCAGTGTGGCACATTCATGTCAAAATTTACCAGAAGCCAAGATGATGTAGGCCTCAGAGGCAGGTTGTTGAGAAATGCTCCTCAAAGGATCTCTTCTGTTCCCACGGATCCTGGAGAGCATGGCAAGAGTTAAACCATCCTTAACTGTCAGTGCACTTTCATAGCTGATTATTTCTATGTCCCCTTCTTGTGAAATCTAAGAAGTGTGACAGCCTTGCCTCTTCTGTTCTGCCTTCTCTGTCCATTTTAGGTGGCACCATCTAAGTGGCAGTATCTCTTCTAATATAATCCAGTCTCTCCTCACTTGTGATAAGATAGCTGATACAGTCTCACTCATGATCTCTATCAAATGATTCTTTAGCCACACTTTAAGGATTCTCTTTAGTACAAGTTTTCTAATTTTTGGAGTATGGATAGGCTGAGAACATTCCAACTCTCCAAGTTCTGGTTCCTTTTTTTTCCTTAACAATTTCTTCTACAATTCAGGGTTTTTTTTTTTTTTTTTGAGACGGAGTTTCGCACTTGTTACCCAGGCTGGAGTGCAGTGGCACGATCTCGGCTCACAGCAACCTCCGCCTCCTGGGTTCAGGCAATTCTCCTGCCTCAGCCTCCTGAGTAGCTAGGAATACAGGTACGCGCCACCATGCCCAGCTAATGTTTTGTATTTTTAGTAGAGACGGGGTTTCACCATGTTGACCAGGATGGTCTCGATCTCTTGACCTCGTGATCCACCCGCCTCGGACTCCCAAAGTGCTGGGATTACAGGCGTGAGCCACCGCGCCTGGCCCAGGGTTTTTTTTCTTTCTTTTTTTTCTTGAGAGACAGTTTTGCTCTTGTGGCCCAGGCTAGAGGGTAATGGCATGATCTCGGCTTACTGCAATCTCTGCCTCTCAGGTTCCTGTAATTCTCCTGCCTCTGCCTGCCGAGTAGCTGGGATTACAGCATGCACCACTACCCTCGGCTAATTATGTATTTTTGGTAGAGACAGGGTTTCTCCATGTTGGTCAGGCTGGTCTTGAACTCCCAACCTCAAATGATCAACCTGCCTTGGCCTTCCAAAGTGCTGTGATTACAGGCATGAGCCACTGTACATGGCCAAAATAACAGTGGGAGACTCCATCCCAAAAATAAAACAAAAAACAAAACAGTAGTAGCTGGATTGAGGGAAAAGATCACCTGTTTTTGTGTTTTTTGTTGTTGTGTGTTGTTTTGTTTTGTTTTTGAGGCAGAATCTCCCTTTGTGGCCCAGGATGGAGTGCAGTGGCGTGATCTTGGCTCACTGGAACTTCCACCTCCTGGGTTCAAGCGATTCTCTTGCCTCAGCCCCCTGAGTTACTGGGACTCCAGGCACCCACCATCACGCTCAGCTAATCTTTGGGAGGCCAGGGTGGGAGGATGAGCATCATAATGAGACCCCATCTCTACAAAAAAATAAACTTGTGTTAGCAAGGTGTGCCTGTAGTCACAACTACTTGCAAGGATGGTGTGGGAGGATTGCTTGAGTCTAGGAGGTTGAGGCTGTAGTGGGCTCTGATTGGGCTGGTCTGTAGAAAAAAACAAGAAAAGTGATAAATGGCCCTTTATGACAGACTAATCACAGCGGTAATGTTGTGGTCGCATCCATCAAGGTCTCCATACTCAATACCCAATATTATTTAGATTTCTGATTATATTCACTCAACAACAGATAAATAATTTGCCCTTGTAGATTGGTGTGACAGTTAATACTGAGTGTCAACTTGACTGGATTGAAGGATACAAAGTACGGATCCTGGGTGTGTCTGTGAAGGCATTGCCACAGGAAATTAACATTAGAGTCAGTGGGCTGGGAATGGCAGACCCCCCCTTTAATCTGGGTGGGCACAATCTAATCAGCTGCCAGGGAGTCTAGAATATAAGCCGGCAGAAAAATGTGAGAGACTGACTTAGCTTCCCAGCCTACATCTTTCCCCTGTTGCTGGATGCTTCCTGCCCTCAAACATCTGACTCCAGATTCTTCAGTTTTGCAACTCAAACTGGCTCTCCTTGCTCCTCAGCCTGCAGACAGCACTGTGGGACCTTGTGATCATGTGAGTTAATTTTATATATATATATATATACACACACACACACACACACACACACACACACATATACACATATATGTACACACATTCCATCAGTTCTGTCTCTCTAGAGAACCCTGACTAATACGATTGGCTAATATATTCTGTTCATTGCCATCTCAATAGCTTCTCAGCCACAATTTGGGTCCACCTCCAAGGGATACGACATACTTTTTCCTACTACCCATGGGGTACCTTAAACAGGTGAGTCAGAGAAGATGGTGATAACATCCACACCTTTCTCCAGAAATGACATTACATTAATAATGTCCTTCTCCAAGGAGATTCACCAATACACTTACTAAAAACATCTAAATCCAGTAGCTCTGAGTACCTTTGAATTCTGGTAACAACATACTCCTTATTTGCAAATTTTACTTACTGGCCAGGTTCAGTGGCTTATGCTATTAATCCCAACTCTTGGAGGTTGAGGTGGGTGGATCTCAAAATTGGGCATTTGAGACCAGCCTGGCTAACAGAGTGAAACCCCATCTCCATTAAAAATACAAAAACAGCGAGTCATGGTGGTGGGTGCCTATAATCCTAGCTACTGGAGAGGCTAAGAAGAATCACTTGAATCTGGGAGGCAGAGGCTGCAGTAAGGCAAGGTAATGCCATTGCACTCCAGCCTGGGCAGTAAGAGTGAAAATCCATTATCAAATAAATAAATAGAAATACAAAAATTAGCTAGGCATGGTGGCACATGCCTGTAATCCCAGCTACTTGGGAGGCTGAGG